ATACATCCACAGAGGAAGGAGAGAACAAGCCTTTACTTAGGAAAGACCAATAACAAGCTCCCAAGAAATCCTAGGCAGAGAATTTCTTTCCCAAAAGGGAGAAATTAGGCCCACTCCAACTAGTCTGAGTGTCCCTCTCAAGAGTCCTTCATGCCACTGCCCTCTCAGGGGCCTGCAAGCCTGTGCCCTCTCCTGCAGAGCATAGCCACCCTCTCACCTGTTGCTGTCTATTGGTGCCTTTCCAAACAGCAACTTCTGGAGATAGCCAAAAAGGTCTCTGACACAGAAGGTAACCAGTGCATTGAACACTGCAAGAAAAAGATACAGATGTCATTCACAGGACAGAACATGCAACCAAGCCTGACCCAGGCCCATAGTCTCTACTCACCAGCACTGTCTGAGACCTGGAATCTGCAGTCCTCAGCCCCTTCCTGGTCTCCTTGGGTAGTAGCCACAGCAGCTCGGAATGCCTGCACAACTTCATGGAACAGCTTGGGAGTGAGATGCTGCTAAAAGGGCAAGAAACCAAGAATGCTGAGCATGCAGCAGGCCACAAAGGGAAGCACAAGTGGCGACTAGCTCCATGAACCTACTCAATGAGAAGAGCCTCTTCCCCACAATCTCAAATATAATGCAGAGGGCTGGGGATTTAGCTCAGTGGTTCTACCACCTGCCTCACAAGCACAACATCCTAAGTTCCATCCCAGTACCAAAAACAAACAATCAAATACAATGCAGAGATGGGGACACAGTCACTGAGGCAGGCATCAGCAACAAAAATGGAGACGTTATAATCATTCTGGAAGCACAGGAAGTCTGCCTCAGGAGTGTCAAGGAAAAGGACTAAGGGTCCTGGATAAAGAACCATGACCAGCTCCAAATGGTATGTGGAGGTCTCACCATTCCTTTCAGTGCAGAAACCAACATGAGATATTCAGAGAAAGCCTGGCTCCAGCAATCAATAAATGCTGCCGCTAAGGTTTGAATGTGTCCCCCAAAGCCCACATGTGAAAAGCTTAACACCCAAATTGTGTGTGTGTGTGTGTGTGTGTGTGTGTGTGTGTGTGCGCGCGCGCATGCGTGTACAAATATACACTGGGGGGGGGTACCAGGGATCGAACTCAGAATCTTTGGCTTGTGAGACAGGCAGCAGCACCATGAGCTAAATCCCTGGCCCTCAAATTCATATACTGATGGGAGTTCGTAGCACAGCTCTAGAGAAATAACTAGGACTAGATAAGATCATAAGTGTGGAATACCTATGACAGCATCAGTGGCTACACATAAGAGGAAAACTTTGGGCTGGGTGTGAACCTCACTGGCAGACTGCTTGCCAAGCATGTGTGGGACCCTGGGTTTGAGTCCCAGCACCATCAGAAAAAAAAAAGAGAGACCTAGTACTCTTTCTGTCTTGATACACAACACAGAACCTTCACCAGATACTAGCAACAAGCTCCTGCATTTACCAGCCAACCGGAAATGTAAGTCAAGTAAATATATTTTCTTTACAAGTTACTTTGCCTATAGCATTCCACTACAGAAATAGATAACACTAAGACACAAACACTATGCTTCACCCACAGTGGCCTGACTTCAGGGAACAGGTAGAGCCCCTAAATTCTGACTGAAGGAGAGGATGCTGTCTGGGCAGTCTAGCACTCAAAAAGAACACATGTGATTATTTGCTGTTGCTTAGAGAAAGATCTTCCTACCTGCAGAGCTGTGGATACCAGAAATGAGGCAAAGGCAGAGATTCTGGGGAACGGAGGTTTTCTCTCACCTTTGCTGCCTGCTTCCACCGCTCTACCATGCCAAGGGTCACCAGGGTAGATTCATTCTTCTTCCCCTGCATTCCTCTGGGCACTCTGTCTCCATCCTCCCCTCCATCCTCCTCCTCACTCGCTTCCTGCACCAGACACAGAAGGGCCAAGTGGAGGCAGGGTGTAACAGGCACAGTGCTCCTATTGCCCAGGTCTTCCCTGGCCTCACCTCCAGTTCATCTGGCAGGGAGTGGAACTGCTCATCTCCTTCCTCAGAGCTATCTGAGTCACTGAAATCCAGTAGGCTCTGGTCATTCTCCTGCAGGAACTTGTAGAACTCAGGGTCTTTGTCCTTCAGCCGAGAAAGCTGGTCTTTGTGCTCAGTGGCACGGCCTTTATGCCTGGTAAGAAAGTGAGGGGTCAGTAAACACCCCAGAAACAGGACACAAGGGGACAGCTCCAACATGGTGGTGTCCTCAGAGATGGTTAGTCTGCTCCCTCAACCAACAACTAAGCAAGGAGATTCCCAGGTGATTACGTTTTCAGCAGGATTAGCTCTTCCAGCCTAGCCTCTAGACACTGTTTAAACAAATGCATCTAAATTCAACACATTCCTTCAATCTTGGCTCTCTCTAGTCTTGCTGCACCCACAACATGCTCGATCCCAGCTGCTGGAACTTGCCATTAGTACACATCAGCAACACCTTCAAAGCTACAACACATGCCTCTTCTCAAACCACCATGTCTCTCAGTACTGTAACTGCCTCTCTATTCCACTTACAGCCCTTCTCAGCACAGCAACCGAACTGACCCTTTATAACTGCTCAAGTTCTGAGGTGACATCCTACCAGGATACAGTCTATGGACCTGGCCCCTAGCTCTCCTGGTGCATCGCCTTCACGACCCGCCTCCTTGTCCACCTCAAGGACTTGCTGCTCCTGCTCTGCTGCCTGCACGGCAGGCTCCTGCGTATCCTCATTCAATGTTATCCCCCCAAACCTCTTCTGCCCCTTTTAACACGTCCAACAACTAATGCTCGCTCCAGTCTCTTCCGTTTTGTATCTCTCACCTCCTAACGTGTAACACACTGTGATTTACAAAACCTGAGAAAGATCTAGACCGGAAGCAGTCTTCTACATTACCCATCTCCAGAGAAGCCTATCTTAAAACGGAGGCGCCGCGAGCGGCCAGCCCGCGCAGTGGCTCTGAGTAAAAGACGCCCGCTCACCTGGCCGAGGCGCACCGGTCCGGCCCACAAGAGTTCCAGGCAGTTCCGCGTTCGAGGGTCCCTGGCGTCTCCGCCTTTGAAGATTCTTCAGGCTCTGACTCGGACTCGGAATCAAAACCCGAAGCCAGAAATTCGTCCACTGTCAACTCTGCCAGGCGCCTGCGGGTCACAGTGGGGTCACAGCTACCCATCAGCCCATTATCCACTACCCTAGGAGAGGAGCGAGAAAAACTCCCAGAATACAGAGGCTCACAAGGAGAACCGCGGGGCCCTGAGACACACATACCTCTTTCGGCCACAAGCCGCCGCCGCCATGACGTCGAGAGCGCAACGTGCGCCACACTTCCGGTCCCAGAATGCCGAGCGCTCCCAGCACTTCCTCCGGGCCCGCCCAGCTCCGTCCTTGTCCCCACCCCCAGCCCGCCCACACAAATGGCTTTACGGATCTACGGATCTACGGATCTCCGACCGCGGGGCGGGCAGTGTCCAGGCGGGAGGGCAAGTTCGCACCTTCATTTTCGTGGGTAGATTCTTAAGTACAGCTCCAGAACTCTTTCGCCCTATGCGGGCCCCCGACGGCCGCTAGCAGCTCTGTAAGACGCCGTAAAAGCGGTTCCCAACTGGGGAAACGACACCAGGTCGTTCCTCCCAGCCCTGATGCATAGCAATGACAAGAAACAAACCAAACGTGCAACAGCTGGAAGTGCTAAACAAAGAGGTCTCACAAGTCAATAATGACGAGACCAGGGTCTTGTGGGGAAGAATGAAACTCAGCCCAGGACACTGCGCAGGAAATTCGCCAAAGATCCAACCCCTGGTAGCCGGTCTGGCCTCCTCTGGTATCTCCCGGACAGGGCTATACCGCGGGTGTAGAGCCCCGTGCTCCTCTGCCGACTAGAGAGCCAGATTCCGAGCCCGCTCGAGAGAGACCCCGAAGGTCCGCGGGTCTGGACCGCCGACCTCTAACGGTCGGCAGCATCCAGCACTAGGCCTGGCGCGGCGGACTGCAGGGTGCAACCTGTCGGGCGGGGGTAGGAGGAAACGTGTCCGGAGGCGGGGCGGGCGGCGCCGAGAAACAGCGGCTG